GGGGGCGCTCCTTTTTCTTCTACCATATCCGCGGTAAAAACGGTAAACATCGATTTTTTTAAAAACCTTTTTTCCTGCGGGGTCACGAAAGGATACCCCTTAGCAAAACAACGCTCGCGAACCAGCTTAGTATATTTGCACAGCAGATTTGGACTGCTTGGCACAGTACCGATTGTGTGGAAGTACTTCGGCAGGTTATGACATTGACAGTGAGGAACTACGCATCGCATTGGAGGTCATATCGTACATCCTGTGGGTCCTCACCTTACTTGCACTATTTCACATCCAAGGTACTTGTTTGACCAGCATCATACCTCCGTTTCTTTCCGAGACGAGCCTCAAACACCCGCTTAAATGGCGAAGAAACACAAGGTTCTTGCCGCCATCTATGCGATTGCTGTTTGTTGCCTCACCGACCGGATCAAACTGGCCATCGCTGTCAACAAGGCAATGGGTTTTCATTTTTGAAACCTGAATCTTTTGCATTCATTTCCCAGCGCGGACCATAGGATCACAGGGTCAATAGCGGGATCTACAGCAGCATAATGTGCTTTTCTGAAATTGACTGTTCATCGCTATCAGTAATTAGGTTGGAGGCCATCGCTATTAGTAACAAGAAGCTACTAGGGGCTCCTGGCATCGCTACTAGGAGCAAGGACGCTACTAGGGGCTCCTGGCCTTACTACTAGGAGCAAGAAGCTACTAGGAGCAAGGACGCTTTGGGTAGTTGCTGAGCCTATTTGGGTTGCGTCGCGACGACAACTGCCCGCAGCAGTTGTTCTCAAAGAAGTCGCAATAATCACTCTATTTTTGGACCCTCTGATAAACTGTTTAGTTATTGTTTTGCTTGCAATTTGCAAGCTATTAGGTTGGAGGCTGGAGGCCATCGCTTCTAGGTTGGAGGTGGTCATCGCCAATTTCACAACGGGTGTCGACCGTCCACCAGGTGGCCTCGGTCTTCGTGGTGCAGACGCCGAGGATATTGATCTTGCCAGGTATCCAGGCGTTTTCTTCCAAATCACAGTGCGTTGAAACGTCGACAGATTGAATCCACCGTTGGCAGGTCTTATTCGCTGGTGCATGGACATTGGTCTGGTGCCTCTCTGCTGCTTTCCTCCTTTCGCAGGCGCGGCCAGCTCATGCTGAGCAGCTCAGGAGGTGCATTTTGTCTCCCAGTGAAGTAACTTGGGCATTGGGCATGGCATTTGCATTGTCAGTGACCCGTATAATATACAGTTATACAGTAGTATACTACTTGTATCTTTTGAACATTAGATTGGAGGCCATCACTAGTAGTTTGGAGGCCATCGCTAATAGGTTGGAGGCCATCGCTAGCAGGTTGCTAGTAGGTTGGAGGCCATTGCTGTGAGGTTGGAGGCCATCGCTAGTATGTTGGAGGCCATCGCTGGTGGGTTGAAGGCCATCGCTATTAGGTTGGAGGCCATCGCTAGTAGGTTGGAGGCCATCGCTAGTCGGTTGGAGGCCATCGCTAGTAGGTTGGAGTTAGAGGCCAGCACTAGTAGGTTGTAGGCCTTTTCTATTATGTTGAGACGTCGCAATCCATATAAAACTTCAGCCAAAAAATGACCTCGGAATGTGCAGAATTCATGGTAGATACTGCTGGAAAGTGCAAAAAGGTAGGTCTTGGGGGTACGACATATATATATATATGTAGATATGCTTCCCCCCCGGAAACCTAGGTTTTAGGATTTTTCAGATGCATGTTTCAGGAGGTGTCAGATGTGCGCAGATGGTTTGGAATTCCACTAGAGAGAGGGTTCAGATGGTATACAAAGATAGCGTATACATATATATATATACATGGGCGGGCGCTGATTATGAGGCCTTCTGGAGGAGTCTTGTGAGACCAAGTTATTGAACTTGAAGTTGCTTGTGTTTGCATAAGCGCCACCCCTATATGTGTCACATGTGTCTATAAATATGTGTATCTCTGTATATACATATATATATATATCTGTGGATATGCATCCAGTTCGGCAAAATAGGTTTATATAATTAGATTAATCTATGGTGCAATTTCTTAACAAATTGCTATTGTCAACATATAATACAGCTCTTCAAAGAAGACAGCACTATGTTGATTTACATGTGGTGGGGATAGCAATTTCTATGATCCAACACTTGGAGTTGGCAGGTAGTTCTAGTATAATCACTATATGTTCAACCAACTCTAAGATGAAATCTAAAGATGACCTTGATTGGGAATTCGAGCAGTCTGAATTATTAACTTACGAAGATCCTTTTTTACACGAGTCGATTGCTCCTAATGTGTCCTTAGTTTGTTTTGCAATGATAGGAATAGCAGGGAATATAGCAAGGTTTGTTGCTACCCAGGCAGGCAGAGAAGCAATGGAAGTAGCAGGACAAAATTAATCAAGGACAATAACAGGAGAAGCACTTGAGAATATATCCCAAGAAAAGTAAAGAAAACAAAGTCGCAAAAGACTTGCTCAAGCAGATGCTGGTACAGAGGAAACCTGCAACAAACAATGAAGAAAAACAAGAAAATGCAGAAGTCAAACATACAGTTTGGAAGACACATGCTTTTGCAAGAAATATGAATGGACATGTTGCAAAGAATGCAACAATTCATAAAGAAGAATGGAAACAAACAAATAAAGGGAAAGTAGAGGGCAAATGGCATATGAGTATAAGATACACTACTATACAAGTGGCACTACTCGAAAAGATGGAAGCATTGCACAAGACATACGGGATGACTTTATCAATCTGCCAACAGGTAGCGCGAGAAACACTTAGAAATACACATGTGTAATGAAGGAGCTAGAAAACCTGAGAATACAAGATTAGTCGGACACAATGCTGTCATCGATCTATTAACTATTGCAACACCACCCATAAAGCCAACGCAACATGGAACACAAAATCCAAGAAGGCTAGAGTTTAGAACCTTCAGTATGTGAGATGGGCATGCTGCTATGCCATCACAAATTACGTGAAAGACAAGCACTACAAAGTTTTGAAGGACAGGGCCTTTTTAGTATTCACTGACCCCTCTGCCAGAATAAGCGAGACCGAACGGCTAGCGTTCGCTTAATTCCCGGCTGCCCCAGAAACAGTGAAGATTTGTACTTAAATACTTAGAGAGTTCCAGATACCTTAAACATTTCAAGAATTCCCTAAGTACAGGAAGCAAGACTCCCTATAAGAGTGCTGTGCACTCTTACTTCTTACTTCTGAGAACATTTTAACATATTCTAAGATTTTCTGGAATTTCTCTAAGTACTGGACAGTTTACTTCCGTGATTCCGGGAACACAGTGTGTATGCATTTATGTTCTTACATATACATACATATATATATATATATAGATGGCACCCCCAATCCAAAAGTCTAATCTTTTCAAACATGTAAGAAAACATTGCAAATATCAGCAAATAACTGAACACCTAGGTTCCGGTGGTACCATATATATATATATATGTAAGTACACAGTAGTATAAGTATACTAATTACTAGTTTGAGAAGTCATTGTTTTGTTCCGGGTGAGACATTCGGTTACACGGTCAGTTTGGTCTTCCGAGCCTTCCGAGCCGAGCCTCGATGCCCAGGTTCCATCTGGCCACAAAGCCGCATTTTATACGCATTCGTAAAGACAGGCTCAGCAGGTTTTGCCGCATTTCTAGAGAGTGACTTAAGGGAATGTTTGATTCCAGTTTTGCACGGTCCTCTTGCTCTAAATTCACCAACTTGAGATGCGCGATGAACCAAGACTATGTGCCTTCGACTGCCTTTGCCACTTACGCTGAAGCCTACGGCACAACCGACATACCAGGCTAAAAGCAACTCTGATTCGGATTCCAAAAATGGAAATCTACCATGATTGTTTCAAAATAGTTAGTAGATGATTAGACATTCTAGACACGCTTTCCAGAGTTTTGGCACGACAGGATTTGCTCACTTGCGATCGCAAGTGATGTTGCATGTGGTTCATGCTGTCGCCAGGAAAATGCACAGACAAGTGGCCAACAGGGTGGGTTTACAAAGATGAGGAGAACTGCGAGGTGAGCAAATGGGCATATAGGGGCAAGGACGCGACTAGGGGCTCCTGGCCTTACTACTAGGAGCAAGAACGCTACTAATGGAGCAAAGGGCATCGCTACTAGTAACAAGTGCCTTACTAGTAGTAACAAGAACGCTACTAGGGGCTCCTGGCATCGCTACTAGTAACAAAGGGCACACCATAAACCTCTCGACTTGAAGAGCTTGAATGCCTTCTGTACTCCGTGCCTCGCCTCAGATTTTGAACTTTCAGTAACTACCGTTTGCCGCTTGCTAGTTAACTACTGCAACAACTACACCGTTGCTTTTCTTTTTCTAGAGAACTTCCTATGTTAACTTCAACTGATGTAACAGTCAAGGCTTTGTTGGGAAAAATCAGTCCAACATCAAAAATGGAGCAACTGACTCTGTTCCGGGGTGCAACCCTGGTGATGATCCCTGTCAGATGATCAATGGCACCATCCCAGCCTGCTGGAAATGCGCACAGCCACGTTATGCCTTCGATTGGCGTTCCTCGAAGCAACTTCGAGTCGGTCAGTTGTGCATGACCTCTGCATGCGGAATGGATGACAGCAGGATGTTGCATAGAGAATTGTTTTTTTCCCTCAGATAGTTCAGCCATGCTTTCCAATAATTTGCTGTTTGAACAAGATACGGCAGAAGTTATTGATTTCAGTGTTAGCCTGGCCTAGGCTTCTGGGTGTCCTTCTTCAACTACCTCTGGAATCTTGGCACAATGAGCACATCTGGGGTTTCGACTTTGAGCATCTTTGATTGAGCATTTGAAACCACTTTTGGGCGAACGAATTGGCTGAAGCTTTGCTGAGGAACAGTGCGCTTAATGTGGCTGTTGGGCAGACAATCATTGCAGGTGCAGTTTGCGTCCCTTGGAATGTTGACTTGTCGGGCAAGACAGCCCTTGTTGGGATGTCTCAAAAAGCTTTACATCTTCAAGGGCTGTAGGTTGGAGGCCATCGCTACTACTAACAAGGGCATATGCGGCATTACTACTAGTAGCTAGAAACTACTAGGAACAAGGGCAACGCTTCTAGGTTGGAGGCCGTGCAGAGGTCAATTTCACGTGGCTCCATGGCTCTCTTCGCTCGACTCTGAGGTTTGGTTCTTCACTCCAAACAACGAGAAGGGATCGCGAAGCCTCTTGGATAGAAGCGCATCAGAAAGCATGGTGTAGGAAGTGGCAAAACAAAAGCTGGCAATAACCAGTAGATTGGTTTTAGGAAGCATTTCAGCACATTGTGCCAGCCTTTCGAGGAGCCTTTGCCACAGCTGTGTACAATGTCTTCCGATACCACTTGGGCTCCTGTGCCTTTGGAGCTTTCATCATTGCGGCTTCTTGGAGCGATTGGGCCACTCCAGAAATAGATCAACAAATAGATACTAGTAGCGTCTTGTTATTAGTAGCTATTTGCTCCTAGTAGTAATGCCCTTGTTACTAGTAACTAGTAGCGATGCCCTTTGTTTCTAGTAGCTCTCTGTTTTTGTTTCATGAAAGTGATTGTACGGTAAATTGGCAGCAAGCAAGCTTCTTAGCACTTACTTCTCCTTCCTCAAACACTACTACCTCTTTCCCCAGGGCTATTTTTGCAATTGGTAGACTTCTTTCTTGTCGATGTTCAGGTTGCTCCACTTCTTTTCAGGTTGAAGCACGCAAAACACACATTCCTAGATGCAAGGTCCAACAAGCAAGATACTGACTGCGCCTTTCTTTTTACTCACCTTCAGCCAACAGAACTCCGGTTGAATCCCTTTCCCAAGATAGCTTTAGGACACTGGCACGCAGGGTCAACGTGATTCATCCTCAAATTGACTAGAGATTCATGGGTTCCATCAACACTGCGTTTGAGGGGTAGCTCGACCCGAAGTGCTCTTTCTCCACTGCGATGTCGGAAGCGAGTAGCACTGGGTAGGTCAGAAACACCGTTGGAAGTCGGAAGACCAAGGTGATTCAGCTCATCAGGCGAGAGTGTGACACGATCGTCTGAAATCTGACAGAACAAGTTGATTGCTAGAGGTTTGAGTCTAGAGGTTCTATGACAGTGTTCGTTCTTCCTCTCTCTTCCTTCCTTTCCTTGAAGTTTGAAACTGTTCTGCTTCAGAGTTTAGGGATGAGATGACACAAAATGCATGACTGATCTCCTAGAAACGGTGCTTTTCCCTCAGTTCTGGTCTGTGACACAATAGAAGTACTGTGAGGTACATGATGAAGTACTATGAGAAGCAGGCAAAGGCGCAGAAGAACCGTGTCCTTGTGCGATACCCAGAAGTATGTCAGCTTGGAAGCACAATGACAAATGATTGTCGGGCAGTGGCTCCTTGCAAGCGATGAGGTGTTGATTTTGAAGTGCTTGCAGTGCGTCATTTGGTGCTTTGAGAAGTGTGCCAGCGACCAAGTTTCTGGAAGGAGAGAAGCACGGCGCCCGAGAACGGCAAGAGGATGTTTCTTTTTATCGCCCACAGCCCAAGGTAAAGTTCCTCAACAAGAATGCCTACATCCAGCCACTTGGGTCTACGGTCTATTTCCTCCAAAGGCTCCTAGTAGCGTCCTTGTTCCTAGTAGCTACGTGTCAAGGATGGCCCCCCAAAGTGCATCATGTTCAGCTCACATTAAAAGTGTCCCGAGGATTGCTTTGTATGGAACTCCGTTCTGCACCTCTGCCAAGAAAGCCTTCTTCTTGATTTTGAGGCCGCTTTTGTTACAGACTGCTGCTTTGGTAAAGCCCTTCAAATCTTCACTGTGTGTGGCCTTGCAGCTTTTCTACACAGGAATGCCTTGCGCTTTGGCACCGTGGCTATTCTCGGAAGAACCTTGGCCCAAAGAGAGGGAGAGAGGGAAAGAGAGATGGAAAGCAAGCATGAAAGGAATAATGACTGAAGGATGCTTAATTGGTACAGACTGAGATGACTCAGCCTCCTTCCAAAGATCAAATGATTTGACGCTTGCACCATTCCCTTGACAGTCTCCGTCCATCCACAGTCAGGTATGATCCACCTCATTGGCATCATGTTCATTGCTTCTCGGCACAGGGCATCGCTACTAGGAGCAAGGACGCTACTAGGGGTTCCTGGCCGTACTACTAGGAACAAGAAGCTATTCGAAACAAGAAATAAATAGAAACAATAAGCTACTAGGAACAAGTGCATCTCTTCTAGTAACGAGTGCATTACTAGTAGCAACAAGAAGCTATTAGAATTAAAAGTAATTAGTCGGGTTAGCTGAATACTTGGCCGCACGGGGCGAAACAGACCGTTAGGTGACGTATGACTGAGGTGGCTGCCACAACAATCAGCGGCTACTTCATCCTATCTGCCACACTAGCAAGTCTTGAGTTCTTTGCTTCCAGCCCATTCATTTGGAGTATGGAGAGAATCCATGGCGATCGCTACTAGGTTGGAGGCCATCGCTATTTGGTTGGAGAGAATAAATCTTTCAAAAGGGAACATCTTGGACCATCCAAGTCAATTTCTCGCCGATTGGATGCCAGGGCATTCATCCCTACATGGCACCGGCAGTTCAAGTCATCATCTACTTTTTCACTGGCCCTTTGGCAGTATTCAGATGAGCTTTCTTGCTGAAGCTTAGTTGACTGGCCACACACGGACCACACAACCATGTCTGATTTCCTGCACAACAGCAAACAAACAAGCTAGTCTGCCCAATGCAGTTCCTTCGGAATCCAGTTGAGGCTACTTCGTGGCACGTACTTTCACCTCGATCTTTGAGTTGGCAGTCGATACCACACTTCAGTGCTTCCTCTGCTGCGAGGCCTTGCTGAAACTCAACGGACAACCGGTTGTTCCCACAATTCCAAAACGAAGACGAAGAAGCACTTTCTGTGGAGAAACACGGTGTAAAAAGCCAATCGTTTTGAACCTTCAGAGGAGCTGAACATTGCTGAGTTGGGTGATGAAGGATTCGTTCCCTCGCAGCTGGAGCCATGGTTGGACAAGCGCCTTGGAATCGGCGAAACATATTGGTATTGCTCGAAGTTTAGACAGATACCGGAACCCGGTATTGGTCTAATTTGCCATCGTTGCTAGGTTGGAGGCCTTCGCTCTTAGGTTGGAGGCCATCACTAGTAGGTTGGAGGCCATTGCTAGTAGGTTGGAGGCCATCGCTACTGGGTTGGAGGCCATCACTAGTAGGTTGGAGGCCATCACTAGTAGGTTGGAGGCCATCGCTTCTAGGTTGGAGGCCATTGCTAGTAGGTTGGAGGCCAGTGCTGGTAGGTGGGAGG